CACACCAAGAGGCCAGAACCAAAGCAGGACAATGGGCTTTTCAGGTAGTGGCTCTTCATTAGCTTTTCCATGACCGGATGTAGATGGACACAAAGTGGATTCAGGTTCAAAATATAGAAAGAAGGAAARAAAGCAGCAGATAAGGCCAACACCAGCCAAGTTTGCCAGGAACAAAGTTTTACTGAAGGATTGTATCATCTGTGGAAGAACAAAGAAACATCAGTCATCTGTTTGATAACAGCATCATATCAGCAAATGCTTTTACTRTCTTATTCTATCACTGCAGCTCATAACTACATGAACAGACTGTGGCTATAAATGGAAGTTAAAAAAACTAGACACTCACAAAAATGATCCACACTCTATTTAATATTTCTCATGATTATAAATTCCAGTCTAATTGACCCCTTGACTTCTTTCCTTCAGTATCCATTATTTCTGTCAGTATAAATTCATAATAGTTTGTTCATCATCAGACAAATAATAAAAAATACTGACTCAACATTCACTTGATGAAAGTCCTATGCTTGTTCACAGTTTATATGTTTATATGAGGGATAAGATTAGATTACAGAACATTAAATGTAGTTTCTATATAAAAAAATTCAATACAAGTGACATAATTTTTTTCCCTTACCTTTCCTGTATCAGGGCTGGATGTGTGTATCTGCTACTCCGGCAAGCTTCTGTAGGTAGATTAAAGAATACATCCAAATAGTCAATGTCCACACCTTTTTACCCAGCTAAGAAAACCGGTGTGTCAACACATTGGTGGAGAACCACCAATGTGTTGACATTTCCCTATCATGTACAGTATACAGTATTCCTCCTCCTATTTCCTCCTCTCATTTATGGTCCCACACACAGCATGCAACATGCAAACATGGGGAAATTTGACCTCAAGAAACTGAGAAACCGGTAACTGCAGTTTGTCACATGTTTTGTGCTCCTATCAAAACACTGATGTTGCCTGACAAAGACAAACAGGTCCTGGTAGATTATTGAAATTCTCCTGACAGGTAACCAACAAACTGAGAAACTGGTAATTGCAGTTTGTCACATGTCTTTAAGCAACTCAACACGTGAAAGCATGCACCTGGAATGGGGATCAGCCTTTTGCCTTTTGCTCAGAGGAGTAGCACTTGTTAAAGAGGTTCATTTTAAGTTAATCTTTTACTAAAGAAACTTTGTCCTGGGGTTAGAGTTAGAACTGCCATGCTTGTAGAATGTGGGATACTTTCTTAGTAGGCTGTCATTTTTTCTCAGTGGATCACTGACACCTGCCCTGTTTTCTTTGTCTGTCAAAAAACCCTTGAAAAATCAACAAAAGGATTGCATCATCTAACAACTGAGAAATGCACTCCCTTACTGTTTGCAGCTTGCCTAACAAGCTGAGCCAGGAGTAAAATTACGTTARGTGGCACTGAACTTATGTAGCGTCGGTTTTGCCAGTGCAAAGGTAAGAGAATAAGTGTTTTACTGCATTTTAAGTTAAAGCTGGCATTGGTAGTGATGTCAAGCCATGTTAACCTGGAGCATAATCCAAAAGCCAATGGAAAAATCCCAAGGGCGACACTAACATTCGCGAAGCCTATAAAAATATGTTATTCACTCTGTGGATGTGCAGTTGTAAAATATTATTTCTTGTTCACAGGATAATTCAGTAGAAAGAAGGAGAGAGGTCACTCTCGGTTATCTGGTGGTGTTTCTCAGAGAAAAGGAGGAGGACCTCTTCAAAGAGCACTTGGTAAGAAACACTAATGTTCAAACAGTCCACCGTACTTTGTGTTGCTC